CATTGCGATATTTTTCTGCGTAATTGTTTTTCTGCGAGCTCTTTGTCTGCAATATTTCTTCGTGTATTCTATTCTTAGTCACTGTTCACCGTTCTCTATGAATTTTCGCTTCGTGTATCTTGATTACTTTCGATCGGGGATCGTATTATCGAAGCAAGAGTGCAACATTCGAAAGATAGTACGTGAAATTTCGGGGAATAATCGTGGTACCACCGCGAACCTCGCTTTTCCGGGCCCGGCGGCCCCGGCTACGTTCCTATAAGGCCAGCTTCTACAACGTTGCCAGGTCGGCAGGCTGCATCGAATGCAGGTTACATCCGCACGCAGTCCTAGGTGCATCCTCTGTTCGGGGCTCCCCGGCTATCGAGAGTCTGATAACAGGGGCGTAGCGAAATGACACGGCCCTACGCGCAATTACGCGATTCGGAAAATAAGGAGAAATAAAAATTCGAGGGGGGCCAATTGCGCGCGCGAGATCGGGAGATGCCGATGATAAGAGAAGCGCGGGTGCATCGGATACGTACGTATGCACGTTCGCCGGCGTGCACGCAGCCGATGATATAACGAGGCGAAATGGATCGCGTGACACCTTCGACAGCGCGAGATCTTTCTTACTTGTGCCGGATGTGCCGTGATAAACAACGGTAAATGTAAACAGTCGGAGGAATTCTAATTTTCCGGCTGTATAATAATGTGCTTCTCGAGTTCCGTTAAAAGTCAACTTGCCGACAATGTGCGAGGGGAGAGTGTGATACGAATGAGATGCAATATGAGACTCATAACGAATACGATGATAAAGTAACGATTTTTCGCTCATCCATTTAGTTCCGAAATTCACCTGTGCACGGAGAAGGAGAATTTCGAAAGAATAAATTGTCATGAAAGAACCAACACGTTTTGCTCCCGAGAAAACGGAATTTCTGGTGTTGAGAGCCAAAAGAGGATGCCCAAAATATGTGGAAACCCCGTGAACAGTAATCAAACCTAAGCCAAATCATAGTTTGCTATCTATACTTTAATTTTCAATAGGCACTTTTCTGTATCTAGTGACTAAAAGGAGATATCACTATAGGTGGTTAAAGTGGTCAAATTTTCAGTACATTTACTTTTATATCTCCCTTTATCAAATTTTATCAAACTTTGAATGACTGCTCATTAGCAAAGAAGCAATTATTCTGCGAAGTCGGAAACTCTGGGTCAGACGATTAAACGTTTGACTTAATAGCGGTCACCATCACTAAAGTGAGCGTACCCAGTCGGGAACATCGACGAGGAAAGTAGCAATAGCAAATTGGAACAGAAGCAACGGCATTACTCGCTACCGAAAACCACCATCACTTCCTCGCGATGACGGCGATGACTGACTTAATCTGACTAAAGTTATAAACTGATATTGACATATAAAAGAACAGTATTTCATTTTTCGACTAGAATAAGGATTTAAAATCATTGAGTTGGTTCATATATAAATCTCTTATGACACATGCTGTATACCTCGAACATGATCAAAAACGCCCCTCATTTTCGCGAAATATAAGTATTTATATAACGTAATTTTGAAGCTATATCTTGCTTTGGATGGAGAGAGCCCAGGAGCAAATTTGACGAGGAGTATTATTTTTTGGTATACGTTTGATTCGTGTCTGCTCAGGAGCCAGTTTGGACATCCTCCTTTAGCTCATAAAAAACCAGAAACTCTGTCATTCGACCAAAACGTTGGTGCGTTCGTTAAAACCAAACTGTACGTTAATACGACCAAATTCTTTTCTCCGTATGAGAAGTCGCGTGTGGAAAAGGACTATTTATCATAGTGAATATGGAGATGACATAATGTGAAATGTGTTGATAAAGGGGACGTATAATTTGATTCTCTTTCGCCAGTTCGATTGCTTGTTAGTGATGATAGAATCGAACGTGTCAAAACAAGGATTATGATGTACAACACGAAGATGTAATACGAGCGTTAGGAGTTCGTCGAACTTCCACGTAGTTGCGTCACTCTTCAAACCAGTTTGTGAGTGACACCTACGCGCGAAGACCGACATGATCCATGAGCTCGCTGCGATTTACGGACGAGTTAAATGTGGTGTGCGGCTGAAAAATCGTTGTATCTCGGTTTGATAAGGATTATCGAACTTCACGTATGCTCTGTGTGTGTTTTTCAGTGTAATACGTCCGCGATAACATTCGCTTCCGAGAATACTGCGCCGCTAAAAGCAAATGTTGGTACAAAAAGTCTTGACTTTCCATTTTTTTCCCACCACGAAACGTTTGTCTTAACATTCAGTTCTATCAAGAGCTACGGAGAATAAAGAAAGTCGAACAGATATGAAGTTAAAATTAAAAAATCGCCGTCTTCGGTGGTAAAAACTTAATCTTTCGATAAAAATAAGAATGTAAGATATAAATTCTATTTTTGCGAAGTGTAAAACCCCAAAGTCGATTTCCTCTCATTTCGGATCTTGGTCTCGATTTAAAAAAGAATTTGTAACTTTTTATTTCAGCGTTGCTTATACCGATCTCTTCTTTAATACTTTATTTTATTGACTAATATTAGTCCTCAAAATATATCAAAATTAACAGTTGAATCTCTGCCTCTCTCACGTGTTCCCACGTCGAGTCAATAATCAATTGGGTTGTTTATCACGGCATTGCCGCGTCGTCGCACACGAAATCATAGATACGTTCGTTGTGGCAGGTGTCATCATCACCGGGTGACCAATAGAGAAGCGTCGTTTCATTTCCTATCGCTCCCGAACGAGAAGAGAACAAGAACGACCGGTTGCTCGATTACAGGAATGAGAAACTTCGACTGCTTAACCGCGGAATCGACGGACGCGCCGCGACAGTTGACCCACATTGTGAAACCGTAAAACACCAGTCTTCCTCCTCGGTCCCCATTCGGATCCGCCTTGGGACCTCCGTTTGTTCTACGTGATCCTCGTTCCGTGTATATAACGGCACGTCGTCCCGAAACTTTCTCCAGCCGCACGAGGCAGAGGCAACGGCGGCGGCGGCGGGCCCATTAATAAGCGGCGATTATTATTATTTCCTGCCGTCGCCGGGACTAAGGTTACTGGGTGACCACGAAGACGCGATTTGAATTTAGAACAATGTCGGGGTCGGGCTTGAAGTCGAGTCGCTTTAAATGCAACGGCGGTCGCCAAGTTAATTCTCGGTGTGACGCAAGTCACGTGTATTATTTTATTATTATTTCATTATTTAAGTCCCGAGGGAGAGAGATATTCAAATGCCAATCTAAATTCGTTCTTATCTAACATAAGATAACGAAATAAAGGATTGAAGAAAAGTGCTAAAAGTGACGATCAAATTAAAAGTTAAACATTCTGCCCTGAATCGGCAGTATTCTCCATCTAAATTACACGACATTTTTCCTGCGATTCCTTCTCTTTTTTCTTTATTTTCTGCATCTTATTATTATAACTCTCGAGTCTGGTTGCTCGTCGTCTTCGCAATCGCAAATCCCTGTACCAAATATTTCGGAAACAGATCCCTGCTTTATTAATGAAGAACAAAGAGATCTTTGTCTTCTCCCTTTCGGCCTTCTCTCGTCGATTGCTCCTTGCAGTCAAGTGCGCTTTCTCACGTTACAGCCTCCCATAACCAAGACGCTCTTTGTACCGTGTAACTGCGGTTGCACGCGGTCTTTCGCAGCTAAGAGGACGTGCTCCAGTTAAGACGGCAACAATCAGGCCCACCTGTGCGCCGTCACGCGTCCCCGCGCAAAACGATCGTAAACACGCGCGTGACGATCATGTAGGTCCCATGATCGCTTACAAAGAGACTAAGGGGAATCCAGTGATTATGTCGTGTTATTATATTCAGTTATTATAACGCGCTTTCCAAGTACCCTGTTTCTCGCACGATCATTATATTCGACGCCGCGAGGAAGCCAATTGCGCCGCGAGACGAGAACGAAATTGGTTTCAACATTTGATCACCGGCCGAAGGGCGCTGCCTGCGTTAAAGACGGCCTCGTCTGGTACGGCAAACGCCGCTGCAAAGTATGCAAATACGGCGGAATTTGAAGAACAGAATAACGGATTACCGTGGCTGCCCGAGGAAGATGGAGATGAGATAGAAGAGAAGCGACGACGAAAGTCGCGGAGAGCTCGGCCTCGGCTTAAGGCGAGGAATTAGCGGAAAAGTTGGGGCGCGATTCAGGCTGAAGAGTGTTAACTCAAGAGCGTGCACACGACAGACAAATGTGCACAACACGGTCTTCTCAAAGATCTACGGCGAATCCGGCCGCGTTTATTGACGCGCAATGTCGAAGAATATCGAGTCAAACTCGAAATCACGTTTACGAAGACGTACGACGGCGTAGATGTGTACGATTCCGGTGGAAGACGGATCGAGAACAGCACTCCTAAGGGCATCAGTGCGATTTCATCAATCCCCGACAGACGAGATCTTTCATCTCGTCTTTCTCGTAAAAGAGGAGGGAAAATGGTCGCAGGAGAAGGAGGAAAAGATCTCATATTACGTCCGAATTTTATCTCGCTACAATTAACCTTTTCTAAGTTCATACAAAGTTACACTAACTATACTCACTACCCGTGATATAGCAGAGAGAAGATTCTCCACTTGCACTTGCAGGGGGAAACGCGTGAACCCCTCAGAACCCCGCACATATTTCTCCTTTATACATTGGCCCCCCTCCCCCCCGTTTACACACGCACCCTCACGTGTACGCGACGCGACATGCCTGTCGTTCACACCTACGTCGTTTGCATCACACGCTCGCGCGTCACCGCGCCGATGTAATTAGCAGTGTAAGGGGTGGTGGTGACTTGTGGCGCGCTAACATGAGGCATTTCCGGTTGTGTTGTGCGCAACGCGATTCCGCGACGCAGGAGAGCGACGGGGGTTGCGAGGGTAGCGACGCCGAGATGATCGGTAACGGGAGACGGGGCGGCGGCGCAGGCGAGAGGGATCGCGATTTGGAGGAGGATGAGGACGAAGGCAGGGAGGAGAGGAGCTCGGAGAGTGGAGGTGGTGGAGGTTTCGGTGGTTGGAGGTCCCACCTACTCGGTGGGCTCACGCAACGCGTCAAATCCTGGTACTGGGGCGCCAGGCCCCTCGTAAGTTTTCCCATCCAACGAACAAGCAATCAAATCTCTCTGTCTCTCTTTCTCTCTCTCTCTCTCTCTTTCTCTCTGTTTCTTTCTTTCTCTCTACCTATCTTTCTCTTTCTTTCTCACACACGCACGGTTTTATATAATTTTTCACTTTTTCCAATCTCTACTCTTGTCTCATTCTGCACCATCCGACGCATCGATTCGCGGGATGGAGGGGGCAAGGGGAGGACGAGGGTGTCCACGAAGAAGGAAGAGAGTGGATCGAAAGGAAAATTTTGGGAGATCTCGACGACGAAAATTTCCGATGCCGCGAATGTTTTAAATTATATCTCGCTACGCGGGAATCGAGATTATACATTCGATCTCTCCGAAATCTTCGCGCTTTCTGCGCATTTTTTGCGCGCTCCATGAACAGAGGCTGGTTTTTGTTTTTTAATCTATGTATGTAGATATATTCGTGGAAATTATTTTGCGCAATCCAACTCTTTCGGACCTGCCGCGGACGCCCTCGTGGAAGGGCGAGGACGACGTGGTACGCGGCATCGATTCGGCAATCTATCCATGGCCCGATCAGAAGGGAGTGGGTGCAATCAGCGCAACGAGCGGCGATTTTCGCGTCGGGGCGAGGAAATGTAGAAAACGTTCTGTCTGGATCTCGCCGGAAGTCGCGATAGCATCTCGGCGGAAAAATTACAATGCAAAGCGGAATCGCAAACGAGTTCATCGCCGCGTTGCCAAGCGCGCGCCCGATATGACATCATGACAGAAACGGCGAAAGTGATAATTAGCGACTCGTAAAGTAATTCCAAAGACTTCTGTTACGTCGCGAGACCGATCGCAAGTCGTTAAGGAGACAAGTCCGCGCGACAAAAATCCCGAGACATATCCGGCTGCTTTTCTGACACGTTTCACGCACAATTTCTAAAACTTTAGCAGATGTTCTCTCACCATTGTTCGCTTCTCTACGTTTATTCAAGCGCTACACAAGAGACACGTCGCTCCGTTCTTCAAATGAGTGCATTACGATCCTCGGCGAAATTTCCCGCTTTCTTTTCTGCACGGGTAGTCGCGCTGTATATAATCGAATTGCGAGTTACAGCGGGACATAATTGGCAAGGCGAAAGAGAAAATAGCACAGGAGAGGACGGGGCAGCAATAAAGTCCCGCAATAAAAATCGCATTACACACTGAAACAACGAGACATCGTAAACTTCCGGCGAGGTCGCGGTTGCATCGTGGGTGCATTTAAATATGCGTTTATCCGGGTCGCGCGTTTACGCAACCTGCCGTTGGAGAAAAAGAGGAACACGCGGGTAATCGACAATGAGGGGACGACCAAAAGGAAAAACCGCGAGAGATCCGAAAAAGCGATCGATCGATCGACTGACCGACCGAAATCAATTCGGCGTCTCGATCACGCGCTTGAACGAGAAGTTAGTTGCTACACGGAAAAAAAAGATTTGTTAATATATGGACAACTAAAAATATTAACTGCAGAAGCAAATTTTCTTGCTTTCATAGCAAAGTTATTTAGTTGTGATAGCTAAAAGATTTGCTAATATATATATTAGCA